TGGGTGATTACTGTAAAGTTGTAGGAATTTGTCCATCTATTCTAGATTGTTGAACTTGTTTGTATGTAACTGTTCATAGTAGTTTCTGATTATTCTTTTGATTTCTCCTGTGTCTGTTGTGGTTTCTCCTCTTTCATTTGTGATCCTGTTTATTTGTGCTTTCTCCCATTTTTCCTTTGTGATCCTGGCTAGGAATTTGTCTATTTTATTTATTTCTTCGAAGAACCAACTTTTGGTTTCATTGATTTTTTGGATTTTTTTTAGTTTCTATTTCATTTATTTCGGCTTTATTATTATTTCCTTTCTTCTACTGGTTTTAGGATTTTTTGTTGTTCTTTTGCTACTTCTTTGAGATGTGTGATTAGGTAATGTTTCTTTGAGTTCTTTCTTGTTTCTTGATGTGAGCCTCTATTCCTATTTATTTTCCTCTTATTACTGCTTTTGCTGCATCCCATACATTTAGGATATTGGTGTCCTCCTTGTCATTCAATTCAAAGAATTTTTTAATTTCTTCTTTGATCTCCTCATTAGTCCAGTGGTCTTCCAGTAGTGTGGTTTTTAATTTCCATGAGGTAGGAAAGTTCCTTGCCTTCTTTTTATGGTTTATTTCTAGTTTGATGCCTTCATGGTCAGAAAAGATGGTTGGTATGATTTCAATCTTGGTGTATCTGTTGATGTTTGTCTTGTGCCCAGTATGTGATCGATCCAGGTGCGCTTGAGAAAAATGAGCACTCAGATTTTTTTTTGGATGTCAGTTAAGCCCATGAGGTCTAGATCCTTATATAGAGCTTTAGTGTCCTTACTTATTTTTTGTCTCGTTGATCTATCCATTGTTGATAGTGGTGTGTTGAAGTCTCCTACTACATATGCGTTTTCTCTGATGTCTGTTTTCAGAGATGAAAATAGTTGTCTGATATATTTTGGTGCTCCTTCATTTGGTGAGTATACATTAATAAGTGTTATATCTTCTTGAAGTATTGTTCCCCTTGATCATAATGTAGTGACTATTTGGGTCTCTTTTTACCTTTTTGAGTTTGAAATCTGTTTTATCTCATGTAAGTATAGTTGTTCCTGCCTCTTTTTTGGTCCATTTGTTTGTAGGATTGTTTTCCATCCTTTTACTTTCAGTCCATTTTTATCTTTTGTAGTTAAATGTGTTTACTGGAGACAGCAAAAGGTTGGGTTTTGTTTCTTAATTAACCTGCGACTCTTTGTCTTTTTATTGAAGAGTTTAGTCCGCTTACATTTAGAGTTAATATTGATAGCATCTGTATTTGCCATTTTGTTTGTCTTTTCTCTGGTTTTATGTATGTATGTATGTATGTATGTATGTATTTGATTTTTTTTTTTTTGTCTTGTTTCGTTCTTACTCATCCCTCTGTTGGTTCTGGCTTTAGGATTCTTGTAGTATTTTTTGGAGTGGGGGATTAGTCGTAATGAATTTCCAGAGTTTCTGTTTGTCTGGGAAGGTCCTTATTCTTTCTTCATAGAGGAAGGAGAGCTTTGCGGGATAGAGTATTCTTGGATGGCATCTGTTTTCTTGGAGTCTGTTGACTATGACCCTCCACTCTCTCCTTGCCCGTAGTGTTTCTTTGGAGAAGTCTGATGTCAGCCTGATTGGTTTTCCTTTGTATGTTATCTGTTTCTTCCCTCTTGTCAGCTTCATTATTTTTTCCTTGTCTTGGATTCTTGGAGCTTTACTTTTTCTTTTTTTAAAAATTTATTTATTTATGCATACAAGAGCTGGGGTACAGGCCAGAGATGCAGGGGTTGAGAGGATTCACCAGAGACAGAGCAGGGAACAGAACAGGCAGACTAACCAAAACACGCTGCTGAGGGGAGCAAGCAAGCCAGTCAGGAGAGGTCTGCTGCGCCATGTGGGTTGCTCCCTGGCAGGCTGGGGATCAAACTCATGCTGCAGAGTCCGTGGACTGCTTCATAGCGCGGTGCCCAACCCCTTGCACTACCCGGGAGGTTCTATTATGTGTCTTGCTGTATTTTTCCTTTCATCATGGAAATGTGGTGTTCTTCTTGCTTCTTGTATGTCTATTTTTCAGCTCCTCCTTCATGTTTGGGAAGTTCTCTTCAATTATTTTCTTGAATATTTTCTCTGTTCCTATGTCTCTCTCCTCTCCTTCTGGGATTCCTATAACTCTTTTATTTCCTTTCCTCGTGGAGTCAGATAGTTCCCAAAGTCTGTCTTCATTCTTTTTTCTTTGTATTTCTCTTTCTTTTTCTGTTTTGGTCCTTTTTATTTCTGTGTGTTCAAGAGTACTTACTCATTCTTTCATCTCATCTATTCTGCTTTCATTGCTTTTCCCAGAGTTCTTTATCTCCTCCATTAATCCTTTGATCTCCTGCATTTCTCTCACTTCCCTCGTTAAGGGCTCAATTTCATTCTTCTGGTCATTGATTATTTTTCCCATATCATTTTCAACTTCTTTCAGTGTTTCAATGATGGAGACTTTAAATTCTCTCGGGAAGACTCATAAGTTACTCCAAGTCACTGGTGTTGCAGTCTGGTGTTTGATTGTCTTTTTGTGGTGTGTCTTCTCCCTGGGGACGTGCTTGGTTGCTTGTATTTTTCTTCTTCCTGCTGCTTGTTTTCTAATTTGTCCTATGCGTTGGGACACTGTGTTGCTGGTACTGGCCGGCTTCTCTTTGGTGTGCTCTTTCTGGGACGTCGGAAACTGGTCATCCAATCGAGTCCAATACTGTCATGCCAGAAGTCCAGTAGGGCAGTGGTACCATGGATATGTTAATGGTCACTGGCCCAGAAAATCTCCTCCTTCTGTTATTTGTTTAATTCCAGAGGTGGGTCTTGAGGTCCCACAGACTGCCCTGGCAGTGGCTGGATTGCCCGCTGGGCTCCAAATCACTGGATCCCCCTCTGGGCTCCAACTCTTCCAGGTGGGCCTGGCTTGTGGGGGCCTTCAGCTCACCTCTGGATGTGGGGACAGCCCTTTCCCAGTTCCACACATTCTAGGTGGGTTCTGGATGCAGAGATTCCTGTTCTAAAACCCATAAGTATATTTTCTAAACAAAGTAGGCTGAACTTGCATATATAGTTTCAACCATACAAAATGGACACACTCACATCATTTTTCATGAACAAAAACAACCATTTTTTAGACTCAACATAGTAAGTTAAAATCACAGCATCATGGATTCTCAGTGACAACAACAATCTAGCAGATTCCTTGGCCTGGTTTATTAAAATCCCCTTTAGAATAAAACAGTGGTCACCTGACATCTGCTGCTAGAATATTCTAAATAGTTTCAACTAATACATGCCCAGGAATAAAGAGGAACACTCCACACAGAACAAGCTCAAACTGAAAATCTTCATGAACCGCAGAGAAAATGTTTAAATAATCAAAGCAAGGAGATATCTCAAGCAAATCTCTAAGTTCACTATGTACAATGGACAGGAAGGTCACTCAGTTTGCTAACTGACCGGATCAAAGGGTATGAGACTTACTCTTTAGACTAAAAATAGAACTCATTTATTTCTCTAATTTCAAAGGAAGTGAACTAAAATTAGCATTCCTGGAGAACACTCCTGGATCTAAGCAGCTCTAAAGAAGCAAGAGAATTATTCAGATCTAGGAAAGGAAACCACAAAGAAAGGCGATATCTGAGTGCTTCTCAACCCACAACCTACCCTGGAAAAGAGAAATCAGATGAAAGATAACCTTGAGCTGACAAGGGTGGGAGGGATTCTTTTAAGACTAGTGATTTTCTCAGGAGTCTTTGCAGGTCGACTATCCTGGCCATGAGACAGGATGGAAGGGCACCTCTCAGCACCACCCTCACCCCAGGGCGAACAGAGAGCAGGAGAGCACAGAGGTCAAGGGATCCCTGGTAACACTTCTGCTGCCTGATCTCCATGAGCACACACCACTCCCGACCACCTGATTCCCAGCAGCCCCAGCTGGAAGGCGCCCACTGCTCACTCCCGCTTTCACAAGTATGGAATGCACAGACTAAGGAGAACCGTCGGCCCATCACCCATGCAAATGAGGAAACTGAGTCTCAGGGAAATTGAATGGCCCCAAGACCCCATAGCCAGTATGCTAGAACCCCTGCTCCCCAGGGGGATGCCAGCACTCCAAGATCCCATCCCCTTTGGTTGCCACATGGCAAATTTGCTCTGAGGTTGGTGGAACACATCTCAGCTTCGTCAGGCATTAAAACAGTTAAGACTCAATTTCCTACTGACTGATTAATCAGCCTTAAATGCCCAGTAATCCTTTTTAAGCCCAGAGATCTTCCCCATAAATTAAACTTTGTCATACCACAGGATTATCTGCAATTGGGTAAGCAAACAGAAATCACATTACTTTCACGAATCTTCCAAGTATACCTGGCTAATGCAGCCAGCGGACACAGCGCATGCACTAAACCGGAGGCTTTGCACCAAGCAGGAAGGTGCAAGGCTGAATGTTCAAAGGCACAATTATGAAATTGTGTCTATTAGAAACACTGATGACTAAGCTGACAACACACACAATAACGTCTACAGGGTAAGTCAGGTGTCAAAGTGCATGTTTCGGTAGCACTGAAATTTAAAAAGTATACGGAGACTCTTATCAAAGGTCCAGAGTCAATGTCTGCTTGCGGGGAGATGAATAAACACACTGTTTTTAACTATTCAGATAACAAATTTAGAGTAACTGGTTAACCTGCCTACTTTGAAATGTGCACAATTTCAGAACTCCTTGGTGAGATGTAATAATGAAATCAGATTGGCACGTGAATTTGAGGGCCACACCCCATACTTACAGGCACCTATTAAGTGCTGACATATCACACACTGCTGCTGATCTCTGCATGTGCTATGCCCTACCATGTAGTGGCGGGCGAGGCAAGTCCATGACCACGGCGAGAAAGGTGCCCTGGCAGGCAGAAGGTCAATGTCTACGCCATCCCTGAGAGGTCACAGCGCCTGGGCATCGCAAAACACACACCCATATCGATGTCAATAAAACGGCACTTACCTTCAGACGCCGCACGCTTGGCAAGTTGGTCTGCTCATCACCTACGGAGAAAGAAATGCAGTTTAGGATAAAGCAAAAGTGGTCAGTCTCATCCCACCGGCATTAATGGCGGAGGACAAGCAGGTGAGTGGCAAGTTCTGGCAGAGAAAGCTTTCCTCGCTCAGCGACTGAGGACCTGACCAGATCCGGGTATTGCTGTGTAATAAGTCATCCCAGGAAGCAAGAACATTGTCCCAGCAAATTTACAAAAGAGGCTACAGGTTAACTTAGAGCTGGATGTCTGAAATGAGAAGCAGCTATTAATACTGTAATATTTTCAAGTAAGCAAAATGAAGTATTTGATCTTCACATGAAAGTCAAAACCCTGTCTCTTGTGAAGTGAGGGATAACATTCAGGAGATCATCTAGAGCAACAATGAATATTCATTCCTTATAAACTACATGAAAACAACTCCCTCCTACTCATTTCTTTCAAATCAAGGCCAAATGTTTAGATCAGAATGTAAGTATCTTTAACACCTGTAATCTACGTTTGAAAGGTTAGACAAGATACATTGTGCTAAAATTATACAAATTTTAAGGGTGTTCACCCCATCCCCGAGGAGACACTCATCTAACATCTCTCAAGACTCCACCAGCCGGGGCCTACCAAGCCCTCCCCTCTGCATGAGTCTGGCTGACCTCTGCATCCCCACAGCTATTTCCTTCATGCAGTGTTGGGCTGGCGACCACACCAGCCCGTGACTAAGCTGAACCGCCCACCGGCAGGACAGGCTCCCCAGGCGTCCCCGCCCCTCCCGGTATACGGCCTGTGGCTGAAACCCGGTGCTGAGTTGGACGTCTGACTGGGAACAGATGGATACACTGACACCAGGTGATGGTGTGACTTCTACTCATCAACCTCCGGTGAGAGTGTCTGATTAAAATCTGGTTCTCTAGCCCATAACAGACAGTAATCCAAACACACCATGTGTTTATCATAAAGTAGAGCAAAGCTCTCTTCCTGACAGGACAAGCGGCCCTGCATGTGCGGCAGGAAGACGTTATTTTTTTTTTTAAGATTTATTTATTTACACATACAAACACTGGGGTACAGGCCAAATGTACGGGAGAGAATTCACCAGAGCCAGAGCAGGGAACAGAACAGGCAGACTGACGAAGTACACTGCTGAGGGGAGCAGCGGGCGGCAGGAGAGGCCTGCGAGCCTTGTGGGACCTCACCGGCGGCCGGGGATCAAACCGGTGCTGCAGAGGCTGCGGGCAGCTTCGCAGCCCAGCGCTCAACTGCTGCGCCACCAGGGGAGGGCCAGGAAGACGTTATTTTAAGCAGACAGAAGGATGCAAAAATCTATAAAGACAATCTGAGGAATTAGTACAAGAAAAGTAATACAATAATGAATAGATTCATTTTCTCAACATTTTACAGATTTCTTTGAAATATTTACCATAGAATACCGAACAAAGGGCTGAGACAGCCGCTTTCAGACAGACACTTGGGGTATCTAATAAACTGCCTCTTCTACGTGCCATCCCGGTGTGAGTGACCCTTCACCCCAGATAAAGGCACGGATGGACCGTGCTGGCCTCCCTGAATCTCCTGCTACTCACGATCATCAAAAGCAAGTGGGCCAGGGGGCAGCACATGCCTTTTGTCTCTGGTCTTCACAGTCACTTTGTTCTTCTGTTCCTTCAGCATGACTCTGAGACAGCAGACCCTGGCAACTGCGCAGAACAGCCAGGGGCCATGAGAACACAGGTTTTCCAAACCACCAGGGATTTTTTTTTTCCCCACACAAACATAAACTCAGGGCAATATGGTTCAAAACCAACGACCAGATTTTGCCAAAGTTTCAAGCACAAGAAGACACGTGTCTGGTCTCCATTCAGGCCTGAGATGGGTCTTTTGTGGTCAAGGAAGAGGGAGTGTGCACCCACAGCTTCTCTGCAGAGATGGCGCTGCCTGCTGTGCCTCCGCCAAGGAGGACAGCGCGGGGCCAGCTGCTCTCGGGAGGCCCCCACCCCAATCGGATGACCAAGCTGCTGCTTTTGGAGCAATCACAAGCTAAACTACAATTTCTTTATGACAAATATAAACCTCACGTGGAACGAAACAAAATGGCTTCCCAACTCTAGGTATTTTTCCCAGTCTTCCAGTTCAAAAAGAAAGGCCACTGAATGTATTTTCTTATCAGACTTATCAGCATAAATCCTGTCAAAGGATTCTGGGTGCAGTGTCTGGAGCAAGGGTGTATCTATCGGGGGTTCAGTGTCTGAAGGTGGAAGCAGAGAAAATCCACCAGTTGACGAAGTTTTGAGTCTCACTAGATGCAAGGGAGACCTCACCCCCTTTCTTGCCAGTCGATGGGGTGCCGTTTAGAAACTAGGAGCTAACGGGCAAATCACCTACCGCCTAAAAGCAAGGAAAACCTAGCGGATGCCGGACAGAACAAGAAGTCACCTTGGATTACAGACTAGGGAAGCCGTGGTGGCAGTACTACTGAACTAAGGTGGCGTTTCCAGGTGGCCGCCCCGTGTGTTTGGGTCTGTATTTCAGGAGTGCAAGGTCGAGCAAGGCTTGGGAGCTAAGAAAGGCACACTCCCAGGCCTGGGGCATGGGGAGGCCATGTTCTCACTACCTTTTCTGGACACGCCATTTCTCTAATGAGCTGCTTCAGTTACAAAATTGGAGACCTCCATGTCTCTGCAAGAGATAATAACTATAATTTCTAGAATGTTCTGTCAGATTGATGCTCTGTTAAACAGTTTATTAGCACAAGCACTGACACAGCACCACTAAGTGGTCTGAAGTGTCTCGGCGCATGTCTCTCCCCAAGGCCGTCTGCCTGTCCTCAGCGGAGGAGCACGATTCCGTTGTGAAGTGGGGGGTTCTGGGCCACGTCCCCCTGTAGAACCATGAGTGCCCGCGCAGGAAGATGCCTGCACAGCAGCCAGCGCAGTTGGCCATGAGGGAGCGATCAGGGTCTATCACAACACCAACAAAAAGACAAAACGAGGCAAAAGCTTTTTAATCGACCACTGCGAGGGGAGGCGGGGCAGGAGTGAGGTGTGAGGTATGAGGCATGTCGAGTGGAGAAAGCCGTCCGCTGGCAGTAACATACTCGATAGTTACATGATTTTATGGAGTCAACAGTGGACTTCAGTCCCGGGCCTATTAAGAATCTGGATTGTGAAAATAAAAGCCCATTAATTCCCAGCCTCCCTGGGGCTTCTGTGGATATCTGTTTAACAGCTGCCACTTCGCAAAACACTTCAGTCTGACCCACATGGTCATGGCCACTGTTCCAGCCACACTCTGACAGTGTCCCAGGGCATCCTGCAAGCACCCGGCGCCATCAGCTTTCTCTCAGGAGTGCGAACCCCTCGGGAAGCAGAAGAGGCATTTCAGGACAGCAGGATGAGTCCGCCAAGGTCACGAGGCTCCCGGCCCACCTCCTTTTCGCCTCCACGTCTCATCATGCAAGACCTGGAACCCCCTGGCTGGGCTGTTGTGGGATCTGGGGGGCGGTAAGGGCTATGGAAAGGGCTTCCTCTCAGTGACAGGAAATACAAACAAAAAGTATGTGTACACGCCATGCGTTCCATCTACCCCATGGGCAAAGATTCTGAGTCTGACACTGTGGGTAGCGCGTGTATTGGGGGCACTCGCAGACATTTCTGGGTGGGGGCTCTGTGGTGCAAATTCTAAGGCCTGCATGAATACCAGAAGGAAAAGAACTACTACTGACTGGGAAACACTCTGTCTAGGACGATATAGTCATCGCGGCCCCTGTTGTTACCAGTAAATAGGGCCACTGTGAGGATCAAACAAAATCACTGTGGAAGAAACCGCGTGGCCCCACCTGAAATTCACCTGGGCCATGCACATCCCTGCTGTCATTCTTCTGTTGTGAGATGACGACGATATGACCAAGTCATGTCAGGAAATACCACTCACTTCGGGAGAGGGGAGAAGCTCCTCAGACTCTTGAAGGCTTGAGGAGGACATGCTGGTCTCCCTCCACTGCTCAGCCACGTCACGGATGTGGGGGCTTTCTGCGAAGCCCTGCCAACTGGCGAAATTCTTTGTGGAAATGCATAATTTATGAATAATCACAATGTTAATTTCTTGGGAACAGTTTATATTGAATTAATAAATGTTTAAAAGATTGGGGAAATATAAAAATCCTTGTAATCGGGATAAAAAATTATCATAATTTTATTAGGACATGATTGATGAGTGCAAGAGTCTTTTACACGTTTTCTGGTGTTTTCTTCTCTTTCTATAGTTAAATTATATTCCAACCATTATCAACCAGTCCTTTCAGCTGAATGACAAAAATAAAAACTAAGTGAAATAAAAGCACATTCATTTGACATTAACCCAAAATAACCATTTGCGTCTGAGAGCCTTGGATGTTGCTGAGGTGAATTTGTCAAATTATAGCAACAATTTTTCCTCAGGAATCTTCTAATTTTGTTCCAATCACTGGAGTCATGTTTATGTATTTCTGCAGAGACCGGCTTCCTCAGAGAGCTCCTGAGAACAGAATGCCTTCATCAGATGACTGAGGATCCAACAGCGAGTTGACTAGCTGGCTGGGTTCAAAACAGGAGAAGGCATTCACAGTGAAACAGAAAGGAGACCACCTGGGTGTCAACACGGGGGCTGTTAGGGACGGAGTGGGAGACCGAGGCCTCCTCCTTCCTTTTCTCCCCAGTGGCTCCATCAGGCAGGGAAGCCAGATTGTTCCAGCTCAGTGTCCGGGCTGTGCCATCCTGGGCACTAGAGGGATGTTCTCCCAGGACATGCTGATGTGGGGCAAGAGCGGAAGGGGGGCAGGCGGGGCACGGGCAGAGTCCCCAGACTGCAGCAGAGGCTGCGAGGTGGTGGTGGTGGGTGTGCTGTGCTGACAGACAGGGAAGAGGTGAGACCCTGGACCCCTGAACTATGTGATATATTGTCAACGAATGTTACCTCAATAAAAAAAACTTGACAATTAAAAAAAAAAAGGGATGGGGAATTAGTGCAAAAGATGAGATT